TAACTATAGTTAGATGAGATCCAGCGGTACATATATATATATATATATATATATATATATATATATATATATATATATATATATATATATATATATATATATATATATATATATATATATATATATATATATATATATATATATATATATATATATATATCTGCAAATGAGCAGTTTTGTGTATTTTGTGATCAATATATTTTAATTTTTGCCCATTTATTTATGCTTTTGAATGGCATTGTGGAACCTTAATTTTTCTTTCAACAATTTTTAACTTTGAAAATTTGGAAAAAGTGACTTTTAATAACATTTTTATTAGTTTAAAGTGATATATTGTTTGGGTTAGTGTTTTATATTACACTACAGAAACCTTGTAGTAAACTGCAAGAACATTTTCTTTTATTTTACAGACTTATTTCTCTATATATTATTATGACTAAAATGTCAGTAAAAGTCACTAGGTTAAATTATGTTGAATTTTCAACATTAAAAGTCGACAGAGCAGAGATCACTATCCCAAACTGCAATTCACAACCGTAAATAAATGGAAAACACTTGTAAATTTTACAATACAGAAAATTAATGTACAGATATTTTTGACAGTGTATATACTAAAAATAAATACTTAAATAAATAAATATAATATAAATATAATAATATAAATAAATTTTCTTTAATCATTTTATTATTATTAATAATAATTTAGCCATTTTATAGGAGCATCTATATGATTAAATAAACATTATTCACTTAATGAAGAGTCAGTGATTATGTATACTGTACATGGATACCAATAATCCAATTTTAATACGATTAAGACAATACTCTGATTAAGAGTCGACCATATAAACATCGATTTTTGATTACGGTCAAAATCGAACTAAACAGAAACAAAATTAAGTAATGTGGAGAATGCCGATTTTAGTCACATTATTGAAGTGCAGTACAGACATGTAAACACCGCAATCAAACTACTACCATCGTGTAGGATTTTCGTCGCATTTTGTGACAGGACAGTTCATACACACACTGAAAACATATAAACAGAGCTCTGGTGCATTCAATCTATGTTGTGGTTTCACTGTATGTCTAGGCTAAATGTAAAAGCAAAAGCAGAGAACAGGAGATGACAAATGGGCTCGGAGCAGCTGAGTCTGACAGCAGTGCTAACCTTTGCTCAGGAGACTCTCAGATGAGGAGCAATGACTCATGGGAAGACCAGCGTGTCAGTAAAGTCTATGCTTAAGAACAAACAATTAGACCAGCTCCCCAAACACTAGCAGTCACATCCAATCATTCAGTGACCATTTTAAACCATTTCTCGTCTTAAATAAAAAAAAAAAAAAAAAAAAAAAAAAAAAATATATATATATATATATATATATATATATATATATATATATATATATATATATATATATATTTTTTTTTTTTTTTTTTTTTTTTTTTTTTTTTTATATATATATATATATATATATATATATATATATATATATATAT